AGAAATGACAGCCGCAGCTGCGAAGGAGAGTCCCCGCTCCCGGCAAACCAGGCAGGAAGCCACGAGGGCGGGGGAGGAGGAGGCACAATTTCAACGTGAGGAATCAGAACCCACAAACTTGCATTTGGACCCATCTCCATCCTCTACAGAAATAGGGCCAATGAAGGGAACTATATTTTTAAAAAAGAAAAATCTAATTTAGATCAACATTTATAAACTACATCTCTTTTAGAAGGAACTCGGGGAGGAATTTCTGTCAGCTCTTAGCATCTCAAAAAGCTGTACTTATCCTTGGCAATTACCTTCTTAAGAAAGGCTTTTATAGATGCGATGAGACATGCAAATGGCTTGCTCCCTCTTTTGTGGCCTACAAGGAGCTTGAAACTGAATTTTCAACAGCGCTGCATGTGGGCAATTTTCCCTGAAATCACTTTATTCTTGGCTTTATTTTTTTTCTATTCTGCTCACACATTTCCTTTGATGTGCCTCTTTACTTATTGTAGTACAGGTGTGCATGTAAAATAAACGCCCGAATCCTCTTTAGAACAAGTTAGGTTATATTAAGTTTACAGCTCTAGATAATTTAGCACCCATCTCCAAATATACCATTTTTCTATACCTGCCTACATAACCCACATTTCATATGCATTGGGTATGTGTGTGTGTTTAAAGTTTCAATTCACTTTATCCCACACACCCCCATCTTTCCCACTCACCCAGTCCTACTGCTTTTTAAAAAATACATATTTTATTGATTTTTACAGAGAAGAAGGGAGAGGGTAGAGAGTTAGGAACATCAATGAGAGAGAAACATCAATCAGCTGCCTCCTGCACACCCCCTACTGGGGATGTGCCCGCAACCAAAGTACATGCCCTTGATCGGAATCGAACCTGGGACCCTTGAGTCTGCAGGCCGATGCTCTATCCACTGAGCCAAACCAGTTAGGGCTACACTACTGCTGCTTCCTTTAAAGGGCAAACATCTTCCACAGCACATGCCCCACTATAACTGGTTCACAGCTTGGAGCGTGGATCTGTGTGTGCATGGAAGTGGGGAGTGTACTGGAAGCAAGGAGTTTGGGGTGGGGGTGAGTAGCTGTGTGTAGGGAGAGCACAGAGGTGAGGAGGGTGGAGTGTGCGTGCATGTGTGTGTGTGTGTGTGTGTGTGTGTGCGTGTGGTTGTGGGCGTCCCCTGAGATAAGCAGTGGCAGGACCTATGGAAATTTCTGCCAAGGTGAGCTTGCACCTCGGGCAGTCAGCCCGCCCTGCGGTCTCTCCAGGCCGCCCGCCACAGTCACAGCACACACACACACATACACACACACACACACACACACACACACACACACACGTGCTCTGAGCAGCGCATTCACAGAGGCAGCCCTGCCGCCTCTCTTCATCAGCACTCTCACCAGAGTGGGCGAAAGGCATGGCCGGGCTGGCGGCAGCACCCGCTGGTACAGGTGAGGGGGTTGTCAGAGCAGCTTCGTCTTAGCGGGATCCGGCCACACAGACTGTGGTTCTGGGGAAAACCTTCCCAATGGCTCTGCATGGCCGGCAGGGCCGATCCTGGAGGGTGCATTTCTCCGGCAGCCCTGCCCCCCTCAGCGGTGGGCGGCCGCTCCAGGCAGGACAAGCAGGACAAGCGTGGCTCCATCCAGGGGAGGGGCACAGGGCAACTGCTAGGCATTCAATCCCAACACAAAGAAACACACGTGGGAATCCATGTTTGCACAGGATGCGCCCCCAATCTTCCTCCTCCAGTGCTTCTATTGCTCCAGGTCCCTGTCCATCTGTGTTCATAAGAATAAACAAGACCGTAACATTCCCGCCCCCGCACCCCTCGGGGCCTTTGGACGGCCATTTCCAGAAAGGGACTAGGGTTTGGAAGTGAGTGCCTGCTGAGGCAGCAGCTGGGTGTTTGGTGGCTTGAATGGCCAGCTAGAGCAAGGTGATTGGTGAGATTAAGGTGGGGTAGGAGGTGACACAAACAGGCATCTTAAGGAGCCAGCAGAGAGGAAGAGACCCGGGTAAGGGCCCAAGACCAGCCGATAGAGCAGTCGCCTTGTGAGTGTACAGCCTCCTCCGGCCACGGCCACAGCCAGGCTTGGAGCCTCACAACCAGCCTCCCTATTTTCCACTGAGATGTAATTCCTAAGGTCACAGACCAGGGACCTGGCTTTTGGATTGAGATGGGCGGCCACCAGGCCTAGCATTCTTTCTGTCCCCGATAGCACTGTGTCCTCCAGCAAAGACATGGGACCCTAATTCTCCCACAGAAGGAAACAGAGAAGACTGAGGGAGACTGAACTGGGGGTGGGGAAAGCAGAGGTAAAGTGAGGAAGGGTAAAGAGGGGAGACAAAGATCAGTCCAGGATCGCCGAGCAGCTGAGAGGTGGGGGTTGGAGTTAGGGTCCATGAATTCATAACAGATCAAGTCACTGAGGTGGGTCAAGCTCTTAGGTGACTTCTGGCTCTACATGGGGAGGGGGAGACGGAGCTTACTGCTCAACAAATAAAATCCATGATGGCATTTTCCTAAGGAGACTTTACCCAAGTCACGGGGGCGGGGGGTACACTGGTCAGGAAGCCCCGGTTTGCGTTTTGCACTATTCCATCTAACGCTATCACCTCGGGCAACTCACTTGGAAAATATGGGGAAATGTAAGTGATTCCATATAAATGCCATAGCGTATGATTTTAAAAGAAGGGAAGACAATTACACGAAAAGAACAGCATGTTTAAAGAACAAACATTTCTTTAACATTATACATTTTAATTTTTCATCACAAAAGACAAGGATTTCAGCTAACAGAAATAACCTAAGAACTAAATGGAAGAAGTCTGTGATTCTATGCCTTTCCAACCTCCCCATCCACATCTGTTTTCATTAGGCTATTGATTTCTGGGGAAGGAATTATTACAAGTGTCACACGGACCCTTTTCCCCCCATAAAAATCAAGGAAATAGGAAAATCCAGGCCGATGCCCTCCCCTTGGAGAGCGGGCTCCCTCACACCTCCAGGACAGGGCTTTGCACTGTGTGAGACACAACAATAACCTCCGAATGGCTTTCCTTTGCTGCAGGCAACTGCCCAGCGCACTTGCTCTATCATCGTTCTATGAATCATTCAGGGGTAAGGGCCACCTCTACTTGCATCCAGAGGAATACAAACATACCATAAAGGAAAAAGAAAAATCTATGGGCATCAGAACAGCCAGACAGGTTAGTTCCCCGGTTCCATCTGTTCTATCCAACTCTCCCTGGACTTGCTCCCTACATCAGAGCAGGCTGGGACCCCAAGTGCTCAGGTGTCAGACTGACTCAGACCCCGGCCCCGCAGAGCAAGGCTTCCTAATCCTTACCCATTCTGATGGGCCTGGTCCTACCGCCTTCCCCACTTCGCCCCCCCGCCCCCCTTGCAGTCACATGCTTTTGTCAAGTGATCTGCAGCTCCAGGCTGCTCAGTCTGCAGAAAAGAAGACGGAGAACACAGAGAGTCAGAAAGTAGCTCTCTCCCGGGGCTCCTCACAGCGTCCTGGCTTATGAAACACCTGCCTTGTTGCCTTGCCCCAGAGGCCCGGTGGTCAGCAGAGGGGCTCTGAGGTCAGCCTTGCCTTCCACCCACTGCCCCCTTGGATCCATCCGAGAGGAATAAGACTCCCTGATGTCGACCTGGTTCAGAAATGCAGACGTGTTACCAGCTGGGCAGGGAAGGAGACTGATGAAAAGGCAGTCTCTCTCCGTCCCTCCCCCCCTCTCTCCCTCACTCCACAGTGAGGCCCACTGATGGCTGTGTCTGTGTACCAAGCTCTCAGCTTCCTTTGCCACCAACAAACTTTGTGACTCACAGTCTGCTTGCAGAGTGAGCAGCGAGCAGCCTCAGTGGCAGGTTAAATTGGGAATGCGCTCTTCTCCCAAACTCACCCTCCATGTCCCCTGAGCCCCGGCCTGGCAGTGGAGATGGGAGGTGAGAACAATTTCCCCTCTCTTGCTAGCCCTAGGAGAGCTGTCAGAATCTGGTTCTGATGGTCTTACGCCCATCTGGATCCCCCCCCCCCCCCTCACACACACACACACACACACACACACACACACACACACACACACCACACAGCGGTTCAGAGCGGCTGGATGCTCTGTGATGCAGTTGATTTCTAGATTGGTCTGGGTCCCCAGTGCTGCGATGTGGAAACCAAAGTGCTCCCCTTCCTTCACCCACTCTGCCTCCCAAACCGGAGGAATTCCTGGCCAGGACTGAAGCAGACCATGCATCCCGAGGGTCTGGCTAACTGTTGCATATGGGGGGGTAGGGGAGAGAAGGGAAGAGAGGCCAGGGGAGAGCCAGAAGGTGGCTACCCAGAGCTGCGCTGCTGCGCCCTCAGCAACGTCTCCCTCCTCCATCACTGCAGAGGGCCGATCGGGAAGTTCGGGGACCTGGATGCCTGGGCCCGTGGGGCAGGCAGAGGCCACCTCCATCCAGGAGACTCCCCGGCCCTCTGCACCGCGGGCGCCGCCTCCCACATCCCCGCAGCCGGACGGAAGGCGGGCGGCGGGTAGCTGGCAGCGAGCGTCCCCCGCCCTCCGCAATCCGGACCGGCTTCCGCAGAAAACTCCTCAGCACCACCCGCCTTTGTCAGCTCTGCAAACGCTGTCACCCAGGACCACCTCCCCTAAGACTCCAGGGGGGACCCGCTTTCCCGGAGCTCAGCGCCCGGGATCACTCAGCCCCCGGCCCCCGAAGGACCAGCGCCCCCCCCCCCCCCCCCGATCGCCAGCAATCCCCCACCCCTCTCCCCCGCCCCAGGGACCCCAGGAACCAGGGACCCCAGCGAGGGCATCTTTGTCCTCCCAGCGCCGGCGCGCGCACAGAGCGACCAACAGAAAGAGGCGGCCGGGCTCCGGGTCCGCGCCCCGCGGCCTCGCCGGAGCCCCGCGGGGGACAAGGGTCCGCGTTTTGCAAGTTTGGGAGCCGAGCCGGGAGGCAGAGCCCTGCTTACCGTACATCTCCGCGGGGCCGGCGCCTCCCGCGGGGCCGCGTCGCCTGCAGCCAGCCCCCGGCGGCGCCGGCCGTTCATTCACCGGCGGGGGCGGCGGCGGAGCCTGCGAGGCCGGCGGGCGGGAGCCGGAGGCCGGGGCCGGACCGGGAGGCCCCGAGCCGGGAGCCGCGCGCCCAGGCTACTGGCAGGCGGAGCGCCACCGGCCTCTGCTCCGGTTCCTGGGCAGGGCGGTGCCGGGGGCGGGGCTATGCTAATGAGGTGGCCCTCCTCCCGGGCTCGGCCACTGGCGGCGGGACCCCGCCCCGCCCCCCCGCCGGCAGAGCCCCGCCCCCCGCCGGCCTCGGCCCCACAGCCTCTCACAAACCCAGATCCAAAGACGCAACTCCTTATCCCAAACCCTGGATAACTCTCTGCTCCTGTCAGTGCCCGTGGACCCGGGATCAGCAGGGGTGCTGGAAGCGGCAGGTGTACCCCTCTCCCAGATGGCTCCTGGATGCGTAAGGTGAGCCAGGGGTGCAAGGAAGACGAATTGGGGAACATCTTTCCTTCCACCTTCCCCTGGCCCCCTTAGCTGAGCCCCATTCTCAGCTGTGTCCCTCCAGCCACTCCCTGGCCAAGTGACTGCTACCCAACGCAGGAATCGCACTCCATTCCGCCCCCAGGTGCTGCGGGAAGTCAGCTTGCCTTTTCTCTCCCAGATGTTGGGTGTTCTTCACCAGCTTGGCGGTGAGGGTCCTCTCTGCCTGTGTCCCAGGGCCCGCTGCTCCATCTTCCAGGCCGTGTTGGGAATCAAACCCAGAGGGCTCAGGACCCACACCCTGAAAACTTCTCCCACCTAGTCCAGCGCTGGCTTTTCCCCAGGCTTCTCACCCAGTCTCCTCCACATGTCACACATCCACTTTCAATATTTACTTCTTAGTTTCCCCTCTTGCCCCCATGGTTGAGGTGTCTATTAGATATTAGGGACGGGAGGTGTAATCATTTCCATTCTACAGAAGAGGAAACTGAGGCTGAGAGAGGCTGGTTTGTGTTTTTTTGTTTGTTTGTTTGTTTGTTTTTTCCTCTATCCACTGAGCTGTATGTTTGCAAGCCAGTCATCTACCCTCTCTGGGCCTCAGCTTCCTGCAGGACTATTGGGAAGTTGGTATAAAACCCTCGTGACAGTACACAGGGGCACTCTCATATTTATTATTTTTTCCTTCCTCACCCAAGGCAGGGAGAGAGCCAGAGAGAGGGAATCCAGATTGCTGGATTCTTGGAACAGTGCTCTCTCTGTTGTACCCCAAGCTTGTGTTTTCTGTTTCTCTCTGTCCTCACATCTCCTCCCGCTTTCTTGCTATTTCCAGGTGTTGTTCCTGTTCTTTTCCCTCTTTCCCTCTCTGAGCAGTACACGGGAGTCCTAGAGCCCCCTGGGAAATCCTGGGGAGGTTCCTGGCGCTCACAGCTGGTCTAGAGCCCTTGGACGGCTCTCAAAGCAGCTCTGTCTCTACTCTCAGTTCCAGGACCAGGTCAGGTGACTGCAAGATCTGCTGACAGTCACGGCTGACCCAGGCAGGAAGGAAAATTTGGAGAATCCTTGGTCTGGCCATGAAGATACTCCCTCTCCACAGTCTGTTCAACACAAAGCAGACCCATGGTTCGCTGGTGTCTGCAGCGCTGTGGAAATGCAGTGTCTTGTCTGCAGGAGGGAAATGGCTGGCAGGGAGGACAAGATAAATACTGATAAAAAATGTTACATGCCAAAAGGGAAGATAGCAAATTGTGCATGAAAGTTATAGACCTCTATTTTTATTTTTTAAATCTTCATCTGAGGATATAATTTTCTATTAATTTTTAGAGCGAGTGGGATGACAGGGAAAGAGGAAAAGAGAGAGATTGATGTGAGAGAGACATATTGATTGGTTGCCTCCCACACTCACCTAATTGGGGCCAGGGATTGAGCCTGCAACCCAGGTACGTGGCCTTGACTGGGGATTGAACCCGAGATCCTTTAGACTTGAGGGTTGACACTCTAACTGCTGAGTAACATCAGCCAGGGCCAGACCTGGGTTAATTCATTCCTTTTTTTGAAATATTTAGTGATTACTCCCAGTTATGTGCTAGATGCTGTGAAAGGTACGCAGCAGACATACAAAAATGATATAAATGCTAATAAGTTCTATGGTGGAGGCTCACAGAAGGAACAGTTTCGGGGGGGGGGATATTCAAGAGGGGCTCAGGAATGCGCAGGGTTTCTCGGTGTGGAGGTATCGTGTGAATAGTTCCAGCCAGGAGGGACACGGTTTGCAAAGGTCAGGATGGCAGAGGGAGAGAATAGGTGAGGCGCAGGTAGGATCTGCCTGCTGGAGCTGAGCCTGGGACGCCAGCAGAGGCAGAAAGGGAGGCGGGCAAGGTCTCTGGACCATGCTGGGAGGGCCTGGAGTGCCCAGCCCACAGGCTTTCCTGTTGGATCTAGGCTGCCAGATTCAGCATATAAAAAAAATGCAGGGTGCCCAGTTCCATTTAAGTTTCAAAACAAAACAAACAAACAAAAACCCCACAGTTTTTAGATCTGTCTCATGCAATATTTGGGACATGATTATACTGACAAGGTTTGCCATTAATCTGAAATTCAGCGTCAACCTAGGTTCCATCTGTCCGTCTCATCAGCGCCGTCCTTTGAAGGGTGCTCCTGGGTCCTCATGACGGACCCAGGCCTGGGCAGTCTGTGTTCCCAAATAGATCCCACTGCTGTGTGGCTCTCAAAGGCACAGGAATGAGGCCACTGTGGCTGGCCTGCCAGATGCCGTTTGGGGCTTTGGCTAGAGGGCTGAGGTCCCTCTGGACTGTGGGTGTCGGCGGTGAAGGACTCAGCTCATGCCCAGCTTCTCTGAGGTGTGTGTGGTCAACATGTCTGCAGGAAATGGTGCTGCGGTAGCAGTCTCAGGTAGGGTGTTGTACTCTCTTCCTCCCCACCCCCACCTCTCAGCTCATGAGGAAGCTGAGACTTGCGGGTGGAGGGAGGGGGGGAAGCAAAAAAGAATCCACGTGTCCCACTTCCCAGAAGAGTGTGACCAAGAAAAAAAACAAACACCAAGCAGGTGATCAGTTAGGTAGGTCAACCTTGGGGAGAAGGGAAATCAGAATTGGGATTCCTATCTTTTTTTAAATATATTTTATTGATTTTTTACAGAGAGGAAGGGAGAGGGATAGAGAGTTAGAAACATCGATGAGAGAGAATCATCGATCAGCTGCCTCCTGCACACTCCCCACCGAGGATGTGCCCGCAACCAAGGTACATGCCCTTGACCAGAATGAAACCTGGGACCCTTCAGTCCATAGGGTGATGCTCTATCCACTGAGCCAAACCGGTTAGGGCTGGGACTCCTGTCTTAAAAAGGTTCTTACTTGCTTGCCCAAATCTGGAACACAGTGATGGCTATGACAAGGAAGAGTGACAGTTGCTGCATGTCCACTGTGCTACAGGTTCTCATAAAACCCAGGCCCCTTGCCTGCATCCCTGGCTCCCGTGTCCTGGGCACAACACCAGGCCTGTCCTTCAGTCCAGAGGGCTGGCCCCTAACTGTCCAGTCTCACAAGGCCCCACCCCCTGCACCGTGTCTGCCCAAACGCCTCTCATGGCACCAGCCTTGAGCACCCAACAGCTTTAAAGGACTTTTCGGAGGGAGCAAGGAGGGAAGAAGATGGCAGCCCCAGGAGATACGGTTTCAGAGAAACATAAACCATGAGACTTAGAGAAGGGCCCAGGAGATGCAGAGCGGAGCATGTGCCCCGAAGATCGCCCCGTAGCTGACTAGCTGTGAAGCCTGAAATAGAACTCGGGATTCCTGACTGCAGGCCGGGTGGCTCGAACTCCTGGCACCTCTCCCTTAAGGGAGGTACCTTGACCTACTTCTCAGACGCCTCAGGGAAAAAGCAGCCTATAAAACAATAACCAAGTACAGGAGCAGTTGGGTAACCAAAGGCGGGAGGATGCATCTCCACAACACAGCACACAGCTCCGAGCCAGGTCAGAGGGACGTGCTCTTGGTATGGCTCCTGGGAGCTGCCTTGGGTGCAGGAGGGATGTGGTGGGGACAGAGCTGCCGGGAGATCAGGGCAGGGGTACCTGGAGTGGAGAAGGCGCTGCAGACAGCTTTGACCTCCGCTTAGCCAGATTTTGCCAGAGCGGGAGTGAAGTGGGAGATACTGATTAACAACCCGTTAAGGTTTGGAAGTACTAAGCAAATCCTCCTAGCCACCATCCTCTTCTGCCTGTGGTTTACCCTGCGTTCACCCTCCAGAGCAGGGTCAGACTTCCTCCACTGTCTATGACTCCCTATGGTCCCTGGAGAAGAGGATCCTTTCCCACATGAAACTCAAATCCACAGCATTGCCCTAACTGGTTTGGCTCAGTGGACAGAGTGTCGGCCTGCAGACTGAGGGGTTCCAGGTTCGATTCTGGTCAGGGGCATGTGCCTTGGTTGCAGGCACATCCCCAAATAGGGGGTGTGCAGGAGGCAGCTGATTGATGTTTCTAGCTCTCTATCCTTCTCCCCTCCTCTCTGTAAAAAATCAATTAAAAAAAAAAAAAAAAGCTCAGGCATTACTATGCCTTCAGCCCCACTATTCTCTCTCCTGGCTCCTTGCTGTCAGGAGGCACCTATTCCCCACCCATTACCTCCCACGTTCAGCCTATGTGACACCTGTCTCCACTGAGAGACCCAAGCCCATCCTCATGCTGAAGGACCTGAAGGCCCATGGCATTGATTGTGCATCTATTGATAGGCATGGCTTGGGAGAGGAAAGAAGACATGGGCAGTGAACAGCTGGTCATTCCACCACAGCCAGAAGCAACAGGCTTGTCCGGAGGCAGGCCAGCCTGATCAAAGAATAGTGTAAATGAAATTGGATGACAGGGAGAAAAACACCTCCAGAAAACTGTAAGGCTGGCTACTAGAGAAAGAACTTTGAGAGGCTGAACTCTAAGACCTGAAAATCCATGCCGATGGAGGAAGAGCTCTAGGG